AAGTGTGCCCCAAACCTCAAAAACATGTAATACTATTCTTCTTATTCGGGGCCCACACCCAGCAGTACTCCAGTGTCACTCAGTGGTGTTCAGAGAACCTTGGTGTGCTGGGAATTGAATCCAGACCTCCTTGTGCAAAGCACGAGCTCCAGTCTGTTTAGCTATCTCTCTGGCTCCATATAATAGTCTTATACTATTGCTTGGCATACAGAAAGTGCTGGGTAATGCAACCAATATCATCTAAGTCATTTTTAAAATGAGATTATTTTAAAATAAAAGTTGAAATTCATTTTTATGTTTCCAAATTTGAAATGGGATAGCAGTTCCTTTATAGACTGTCCCACATTATTTTCTAATGTCCTTATATTGCTGTTGTGCCCATTACTACTTTGATTTGTTAGAACAAAATAGGCTTTAGACTTCTAATCTCTGGTTGGTAACTTTAGCTCTAGAATCATGCTTACCTGTGGTTACTCCTCCCTAACAAATATACTTTATATTTCTATGCATATGTTTATACATATGCATATAGTGTTTAAACATGGGGGGGGTCTCACTCATACCTCCAATGCCCACTAATTCCATCTTAGTTTTTTGGTTTCTATTTGGCCATCACCATAGATGCTAGTGTTAGATATATTCCCTATTAAATTGTAAATCCAAAGGAGATAACCATATTCATTTGCTTCCATTTTATCCTTAGCACATAGCAGTGTACTCAGTAAACACTTAAATCTATGCACATATACATACATGTTTTAGTGTCAAGCCCACGACCTCAAACATGCAAGGCACAACACTCTTCTGCAGAGCCACATCCTTGGGCCCTCCAAAAAATTTGTTTATATAGGGCTGGAGCAATAGCACAGCGGTAGGGCATTTGCCTTGCACGCAGCCAACATGGCCGACCCGAGTTCGATTCCTCCACCCCTCTCGGAGAGCCTGGCAAGCTACCGAGAGTATCTTGCCCGCACGGCAGAGCCTGGCAAGCTCCCCGTGACATATTCGATATGCCAAACACAGTAACAACAAAGTCTCCAATGGAGACGTTACTGGGCCCGCTCGAGCAAATCGATGATCAAGGGAGGGCCTTTACTTTACTATATCTTTGTATCACTGTTCTCCATTGATTTGCTTGAGCGGGCTTGAGTGGGCGCCAGTAAAGTTTCCATTCGTCCCTGACACGTGCTAGTGTAGCCCGATGGCATATTGGGGGCTCTTTCAGGGTCAGGGGAATGAGGACCATCATTGTTACTGTTTTTGGTATATCGAGCATGCCATGGGTAGCTTGTCAGGCTCTGCTCTGTGGGTGGGATACTGTCAGTAGCTTGCCGGGCTCTCTGAGAGGGATGGAGGCTTTTGGGGAAGCCTCTAATCACCTTTACAGGTGTTCCCAGTCAGGCATATATGTGGGAAGGATACTTTCTTTTATATATATATACTTTCATATATATGTATGTCTATATATGTATATATGTGTATTGTATACATATGTATATCTACATTACGGTTATATGTAGATATATATTTAGCAGGGGGCCTCTAAAGTAGTTTGGGGGCTCAAATGGTCTGGGGACAGTTGGGGACCCTGGAGGAGCCAGTGGCTTGCAGGGTCACATCCAGTGGTGTGAAAAAAAAATGTTGGGGTGCCTAAAGGAAAAAAGAAAAAAGAAAAGTGTCATAGAAGCAGGCTGGGGGACAGGAGGGAAACTGGGATCATTGGTGGAGAGAAGTGGACACCAGTAAAGAGATGGGTGATCCAACACTGTACACTGAGACAACTTTGTATCTCACAGTGACTCAATAAATTTTAAAAATTCAAATAAAAATAGGAAAAAGAAAACATCGGGTTTGATCTCCAACCCCAAAACAAACAGCAATTTTTTAAAAAATAATGTAGGAATACTTATATTTGTTCAGCCATTGATTAAGCTGATTGAATTGGGCATGAACTTCACATTACTTTTTTAATTGTATCACCTGAGATAGAGTTACAAAGCTTTCATGTTTGAGATTCAGCCATACAATGATGGAACACCCATCCCTCCACCAGTGTACATTTTCCATCGCCCACAACCCAGTCCTTACCCTGCCTCTACAGCAATTTCCCTAATATTCTCTAATTTTGAGCATTATGCTTTGCTTAAAATTTCCCACCACCATTCAATCTACCTTCCGTGGGCGGACGCTTGATAATCTATTTTTCATTGCTCAGTTTGAGTATCATGAGAGCTCGCATGGCGGCAATTGTAAATGTAAATTTCTAGATTGTAAATTATTGGGTATGGCATCTTGGGGTTCAATTGGGAGTCTCTGGTCCGGGGCTGTTTGTGTGCTAAGATGGACCCCAGAGGCAAATTGTGGGCATGACAGCCAGTCTGCTGGGTGGGCGGGGACCCGGGGAGGGACATCCCAGGTCCTCTGTTGCCATGTGGCCTGGAGATTCAGTCCTGGAACCCGCATAACTGGGCCTTGATTGTGGAAGCTCTTGGTCGCCGGGATTCCATCTGGAGTAGGCAGAGAGACTGCACCTGCTCCATTTGGGGTGCCCTGGTGAAATTAAGGTCTCCGGCAGTGGGGTGTCTTCCAGGACTTGCTGCTGTTTCTCTGGGCCAGGGCTGAACAACAGCAAAATTAATGTTGAATCAAAATGGAAAAAATATTCTATCCAGTTTTAATTAATTCCTTTTATTTTTTTTTGGGCCACCTTAATGTATTCATGGCTAACTTCTGACTCTGTGGTCAGAAATGACTCCAGGCTGGCCTATACAAAGCAAGCATCTTACCCACTGTTCTATCTCTCCTGTTCCTAGGTCAATCTCGATGGAGAACTAATGGTTCTTTTTTTTCTTAGTTTTGGTAATCTTAATCATCATCAGGTCTTCTAGCCTATTATCTCTTACCTTCCAAACTGGCTTTTAATTCACAAATGAGGAAAACCTTTGGCACCAGTGTCTACTTATCCTTTAAGTGATGAGAATTCCTACTTTTAAATTGATGAAAATGAACTTTTGGGTATACCTTAATGAACTACAAAATTCTTGAAGCCTTAACATTTGAGTTTCTTACCATCTGTGGTCTCATTTGTATAGAAAAAAGGGCAATTCAGGCCAAACTCAGCAATGCTATTAGGGATGTACTACTATATGGGGGAATGTCTGAAATACTAGGGATCAAACTGGGCCACATACAAGGCAAGCATCTTAAAGTTTACACTATTTTTTGCACCACATAAAAAGGTACTTTTAACTTAAAAGAATATAGTATTTTTGTCTCAGCCTACAGTTTTTTCATTTTTTTCCCCAACATGTGTTTTCACCTATTTGCTTAAAGAAATGTTTTACACTCACGTTCTTACAATTTACTTCACTGATTTAAAAAAAAATTGGGCTTGCCCTAATTCCTTATTAATTGTTAAAAAGGTTTGATGCTTATCACAGGATAAGGGAATCTCACTGTCCTTGAGAATGTTGTTTAAATAGAAGCAATTAGGCAAAGACTAAGTTGTATTATACTTTTAGGTATGATCAATCATTTTTTGGGGGAAAACTTGTGCAAGAATTAAAAGTCTAAGTTAAACAGATCTAGTTTCAATGTTTGATTTTTAACTTAATCTGATTTAATGTCTTACAACCCTTTAAGTTTTGCACAATCTGTATCTCCCTGTTGTTTCTGGGGATTAAGTGGAAATAGTATGGTGTCTGGTATATAGAAAGGACCCAGTAGATATTTTCTGTATTCACCATAACCCATGATAGTTTATTCCACCTACACTGATGCTAATTAAAAGGTTTCCCACTTAACAGTCAAGTAGCTTTAAGGCAGAATGAACACTTTTGTGAATACACAAATATGCTTGTACACATATTGTGTGTGTGTGCGTGTATGTATGTGCGTGTGTGTATGTGTATTAAACCCAGATTTACTGGGGCTGGAGAAATAGCACAGCGGGTAGGGCGTTTGCCTTGCATGCGGCCGACCAGGGTTCGATTCCTAGCATCCCATATGGTCCCCTGAGCACCGCCCGGAGTAACTCCTGAGTGCAGAGCCAGGAGAAACCCCTGTGCACTGCTGGGTGTGACCCAAAAACCAAAATAAATAAATAAATAAAATAAACCCAGATTTACTGCTAGCCATATCCAGGACCTTGCTATATATTTTAAATTTTTGGAGACTTTGTGTGTGTGATGCTTTCAGGCAACATGTGATCAAGGCACACACCAGAAGTCCTTAACTCCTCTGTCTCCTCATTCCATTTTAAATGTGACTGCAAATGTTTATGTTTTGCTTTTTGGGTCACACCCAGCACTGCTCAGGGGTTACTCCTGGCTCTGCACTCAGGAATTATTCCTGGCGGTGCTTACGGGGACCATATGGGATGCTGGGGATCGAACCCAGATCGGCTGCATGCAAGGCAAACGCCCTACCCGCTGCATCATCACTCTGGCCCCAAATGTTTATAAATTAATACACACATTATAGGAAGGCTGAATATATGAAAGGAAAAAAAGTTGAAAAACAACCACCGGCGTACCCTTGACTTGGCAGAATCCTTTTGGTTTTTGTTTTGGATCCACACCAGGTGTTGTTTGTAGCTTTGTGCTCGGAGGTCACTCTGCAGGTGCTGGGTGGAATAGGGAAGGGATCAGCCAAGCCAATGATCTAACCAAGGTCAGAGGCCTGCAACACAGGCACTTTCTTCCCTGTGTTGCAGCCCCAGAATCAGATTGTAATACTAAGCTGTAGCTCGATCAAAGCATTCCAAGTACTTACTGCATTGTGAGGGCTGGAGCGATAGCACAGCGGTAGGGCATTCGCCTTACAAGCGGCCAACATGGCCGACCCGAGTCCGATTCCTCCGCCCCTCTCGGAGAGCCCGGCAAGCTACCGAGAGTATTCGATATGCCAGACACAGTAACAACAAAGTCTCCAATGGAGACGTTACTGGGCCCCCTCGAGCAAATCGACGATCAACGGGAGGGCCTTTACCTTTACCTTACTGCATTGTGGATGGATCCCACCGGGTCATTTATGACAAAAGAGGAGGTGGAGGCAGGAAAAAGAACATAGATCCTGGTGGGAATGACCTTCCTCAGGGAAGTCAGCCCTGAGGGTTTCAGGTCATTATCACTGCAGCCTCCTCTCTTTATCTCCTTCCCAGGCTTTTATATGCAACTATTTCCCAAACGTGGGATCAGTCCGTCGGGTTTTGCACACGGTGACTCCAGTGCTGAGAGTGGGTGGAATCCTGTCCCGAAACAGGCGTCGCCGACGTTCCGCGGTCCTCGCCGGGCTCGTCGCGCTCGCCGGCCGCATGGGGCAACGACACGGCTCGCCTCGAGGCCCAGCCACACGGCCACTGGTCGCGGCGTCGAGGTGATCGCCCGGCATTGCCATCTCCCCTTTTGGCGGGCTCGGGAAGCCCGAGGCTCCGCCCCCCGGCGCACCCCAACCGCAGCCGCAGAGGCGGGCGCAGCGCTCCCATTGGCGGAGCCACCCGCGCTGACCCCGCCCACCCCCGGCCCCGACGCGAGCACGTTGAGTGGCGGGGCCAGCCGAAGAACTCTCTAGAGCGAGGAGCGGCTCCAGGGGTCGGGTGGCAGAGCCGGGGCGCCCGCTTCGGGGGGTCCCCGAGAGGCTGCTGGGTTGGGTACGCGGCCCGCCGCCACGGGGGGAAGGGGGTGGGTGGGCTGAGAGCAGCTCGGCGGCGAGGCCGGCCCGCCGCCCCTTCCCCCCCACCCCCTCCCCCGGCGACCTTGGAATCCGAACCTTCCCGGAGCGGCTCGGGCCGCGCGATGGCGACTGCGGCGGAGACCAAGGCCTCTCAGCGGAGCAACGCGGGCGGGCCGGGCGGCGGCGGCGGCGGCGGCGACGACGAGATGAAGCAGTCGTTTCCGGAGCTGGAGCCGTCCCCACAAAATGGCGGCGGCGGCGGCCGCCTCAGCATCGCGGAGCTCGGCGGAGCGGCGGGGCCTGAGGAGACCGCGGCCGCGGCCGGGGCCAGCCCGGGCCTCGGCCACGAGCAGCCTCAAGGCGCCTCCGAGGCGGGCGCGGCGCCTCCGCCCAAAGGCCCGGAAGAGCCCGAAAGACCCGTTAGGAGGAGTTTTCAGATCCCCAGGAAGAGCAGAGAAAAGAAAGGTGGTGCCTCCCTTCCTCCCCAACCCCTGTCTCTCCTCCTCGCCCTCTCTTCTTCCCTCCCTCCCCCCTCCATCTTTTCATTAGAACCTCGCTCTCGGCGCCGCTTCCCCGCACCCACCCGAGGCACGTAAACACGCAGGCGGCGCCGCCCCTCTCCGCGGACTCCACGGCCGCGCGGCGGCGGCGGCGCTCGGCGCGAGAGGAGAGGCAAGCGGGAGAACCACGCTCCCCTGCTCCCCCTCGCCCCGTGGAAGTCGGAAGGCGCCCAGCTCGGAAGCTGGTCCAGGAGGCTGCGGCTCCCCGAGAGGAAAGAGGGTGCGCGGCGCCCCTCCCTCCCAGCGCCCCGAAAGCCGAGGAGCGGATGTACCCTAAGGATGCTTCTGAGAAGTCTCGCGCGGGAGAGAGCCCGTGGCCACGGATTCTGGGGCCTTCTCCAAAGCCACCGCCTTCTGAGGATCGCCAGCGCTTCTCCCTACGGAAATCCTCCAGCTTTACGTGTCTACTTGAAATTGGCTTGATGTCAGCGTCTGCCCCTTGTTTAGCAATCGCCTTTAGATGTGATCCATGCACTGCTCTTTGCCATCACACTTCATTTCCATGCAGAGTTTTTTTGTTTTTGTTCTCCCTTCTTCTCCTCCTTGATCTGGAAGCATCAGATTCGATAGGTCTTGCTCTTTTTTTTTTTTTTTAAGGCCAAGCTCAGTATGTCTTGTCTTGCATTGGGCAAGGACGGGAAGGTAGGTTCTTGGTGCAGTAATCTCCCAATGGGAAAACATGGAAAGGTTAGTTTATGCCCAAGAGTCGCCCTCGATCTTGTAGATGAGAACTTTAGGTTAAAAACCAAAATAATAAAGCCCAGTTTGGTTCTGGGAGCCAGTATGGGAATAGTTCTATTGGAAATACACTTACCTTTTTTTTTAAACTTTATGCCATAGTAAGAATCCTAAGGAAGATCAAAGTTAGTATAGTTTTACACTATTTTTGACTATCCAGTGATTTGTTTGATTTCTGGATTTAGTCCACCTAGCCTTTTTCTGCTTTCCACTTTGTTCAGTTTTTCGTGGTTTACTTAAATAATTGAAATTTTTTTGCTTGCAGCTAGAGTCTTAGTAAATCTTGAGAGAAGCTCTCGTGCTTCCTTTCAATCAGTGAGTTCTATTTACCACAGATAGATTGTTTGATACTTCCTTGATTTAGTAATCTACAAACAAAGGCAAATTTAATTTCTGTTTGGCGGACACAGCCATGGACAGCCTTGATGTGAGAAACTATATAAAGATGAGATTACCTTTTATGCACAAGCATGAGTAGTGTTTCTAGGTGTATGTTTTGAGTTGATGTTATTTTCGGGATCAAGAGTATACTTGTAAAGGTCAAAATTGGCAATGCTGGTTTATCTACTTCAGATGTGATACCTTTTGAGGAAAGTTAGATGCCCATATTTTCATTTGGTATCGTATAGGATATTGGACCTACCTTCGGATGGGCACTGGTTATGAGGTAGGAGATTGACCTTTTATTAAAGCCTAATAAAATTTTGAAATCTCTCTTCTTTCCTCCTTTCTCTCATTTTCTTTCCCCTTCTTTTCCTTTGGGCCACACCAGTCGTACTCACGGATAACTCCCAATTCTGTGCTGGGTAGACCATGCGGTGCCAGGGATCAAATCTAGGTCTTCAGCATGCAAAACATGCTCCCGCCGGTTGAGCTATCTCTCCAGCCCTAAGTCTATGTTTTTGAAGGTTTTAAGTAGCCAGGAGTATAATTTATGGCCTATCATAAACCTTTTCACTTGCAATAACACCTATAATTGACCTCAAAACCCTCATAGTTCAGTCTGAAAGGGATGGCACTAGGAAATGTCAGATGGCATTGTATGTGTGTTAATTAGGTGTATCCGGACATTACTGTAAAATCGACTGAAATTGAACATACTTAAAGTGGTTCTAATTAGGGGATTAGGAAATATAAAACCTAGTTGTTTTTCCTCCTGAGTCTGACACTCCTTGGGGAAAATTTATTTTTCCCATTATTACTTGAGACAAAAGCTTTCTCTAGTCAGGGAAGTTATAGCAAGGAAAATTTAACAGTCTGGGATATTTTTTTATGTTCAGCGAAATAAATCATTGATTGTTTATTCATTAAGAAGTGACATTTAAATAGTGCTCTAAAGATTTTAATAGAACTTTTTTAAAAAAATAGGCAGCTACTTTGCCATTATGGACTTTGCCCATATCCAAGCTGAATGATGGTAGTGCTTGGTGACAGAATCCAGTGAAAAAAGAAGCCAGTATTTTTTAAAAAAAAATGCGCTCTCAGAAGCAGTGCATTTGGTACTATTAGTTTTATAGCAGTATTATCTCCTCTAAAAAAGTTATCACAGTATAGGTTTTGATTAGGAATTCTAGTCCTGAGTCACATCATGAATTTTGAACACTTTCAGTAGACCCGTCTGAACTTAGTATCAAAGATTGTTGTAGTTATTTAAAAAGTATTGCAATTCTTTGCTTGTGACTATTCTTTTCTAGGCAAATTCAAGGTTAGGGCTTGAAATTTATTGGTATCTTGGAAATGTTTTGAAAGTAGACTCTGATACAAAATTTGTTTTTCTTGGTCTTAAGAGTAACATGGCATTCCAGATACTACGGTACTGATTAGGCAATAATGGCACTCTGTAGTGCTTGATAAGTTGTAGACATTTTCGACAGTTTACACGTACTAACAATTTTGAACATCTTACATGGTAGATGCTATTTCCATTTTATAGACGAGGAAACTAGTACCTAGAGGTTAAATAACTTGCCCAAGGTCACACTACTAAATTATGGAGTTCATTAAATGTGAATTTAGTTGATGAGTATTTACTACTACTCACTGTTAACAAGACTTTGTTTTTTAGAATACAAGGATTTTAGTTTTTATTTGATATCCATAAAAGGAAAGTTTAATTTTATGTTGGGGGTGGGGCTTGGGCCACACCCACAGTGATCAGGGCACTTGGCTGTGCTCTTGAAATGTGGGGCCAGGAATCGAACTGGGGTCAACCACTTGCAAGGCAAGTGGCCTAATCTGTATCTACAGTCCTACTGAGTTTTTAATCTTTGTTGGATTTAGAAGTATTTAGTATATCTAGCCCTGTAGAATTTGAGTTTCAAAAATGATACTCAAATATTACAAAGTTAGGACATAAAACAGTACTGACAACTTTTAATTTTATTTTTTTTCTTTTTTCTTTTTCTTTTTCGGGTCATACCCGGTGATGCTCAAAGGTAATCCCTTGCTCTGCACTCAGGAATTACTCCTTGTGGTGCTCGGGGGACCATATGTGGTGCCAGGGATCAAACCCTGGTGGTTTATATGGAAGGCAAGCGCTCTTCCTGCTGTACTTTTGCTCTGGCCACACCGACAGTGTTTATTGACAGTAAAATTTTACTCTTCTCATGTATTGGATGGACCAACATTTTTAGTAGTGATGATATTTTTAAATTGAACCAAACTGCAATTGCATTTTGTCATCAGATGTTTCACTATACTTTTGCTCTAAAACTCAAGTCATAAAGACTAAAATGGGTGATAGAATTTGATGAAAACTTTTTTCCTTCAAAGTTATTGGGAAATGAAATATTGAGATTTACTTTCTGTAAATTGGCTATTGTAGGACACAAGGGAATCTCACAGATTATCTGCTTTCATATATCTTTTATACATACTGTTCCAGGCCAGGAAAATTAAGAGCTCTCCAACATCCATCTTTCCCTATAATCTTTGTAGGTGTGACATAATTTTTTGAAAATTTAGTGGGGGCATTCTCCTCAAATATGCATGATGTTTCTAAGTAACATAGAGACTCATAAATTAGGAAAAACCAGGTCTTGAAAGTGTGAGCAGAATCCACTCATCCATATCAAACATTTAATTGATGCAATTAAGTTCTAAGTAGTGGAAGTAAAATTTTCCTTGACCACTTCTGTAGTACCACAAAAGCCAACAGTTCAATATTTGTTCTTCATTCTAGATCTTTTCCAGCAGCATATTCCTTCCTAATTCTACACCATGTTCAACCTTGATTTGGAGATGGAATGACCATTCCTAGTGTATTATGTCTGTAGCAATTTTATTAGAAGAATTGATTTTTAAAACAGCTTAAGTAAATTACTCTGAGGAACCAATGGAAATTTGTTGTAATCATTAGTACTGAGATGAAATTAGTATTGCAAATCATATGTGGTTTTCAATCTCATTACTTATTCCCCTTTTTTTATAATTTATTTTAAATTAGAATATATTTTATATTGCTTTGGTGAGTGATTCGTCTTTCAAAAGTTTCTTATTTTTACCTTTATGTATATATGATTATTTGCATATACACATTTTAATACAAAGAGGCGTTACCCACTAAATTGTTGAAAATGAGGAAATGTTTCTTTGATTAAGGAACAATACTATTTGATGAGAGAAATTTGTGTTCCAGTTTGTGTGTTCCAGTTGCATAATATGCTACCAGTAATAAAAGTATTTTGTGATGGAATAGACTACTAATGAGGAGACCTGAATTCCAGTTCTAATTCTGTGAAATAATGGCCTCATTAGAACTATAAATCTTCCAAGTTCTATCTAAATCTTCAATTTTATAAGTTATAATCAATTTTATTAGTGATAACTTAGGAATTATCAGTAACCAACTCAACTATCTATCTGAAATATTTTTCAAAATTCTGTAAATAAGGAAAAATTATATTTTAATATGTGACGGATTGTTATAACCCTAATAAAGTCTTCATTTTATGGCCCTGATAAATTGAGAGAAAAGAATTGAGAAAACATGTGAATGCATCTAGTACAGCCTTAGATGTTAAATTTTTTGTTCTTTCTTAGCTAATCTTCAGTGACTAACTGTTCTTCATGATTTCCTTGTTTAAAATAAGAGTATTTTTTCCCCATTACTTAGAATGGTATTTTTCAGCTCTTAGGCATATAGTTACATATTTTTCTTTTGTTTAAAGTTCTTAAGATTTTGAGTCAGAAAGCCTGAGTTTGAGTCCTCTCTGTCCAATTCATTTGTTCATTGTGAAACCTGAGCCCAAGTCAGATGTTAGCAGTTGCATTTGTGAAATGTATATAATAAAAATTTTTGGGAGTTTTGGCAGTTTAAATGCGGTGATGCATTTCATTTAAAGCTGTTGGTATAGAATCTGAAAAGGATTAATTATCTGATGATTAGACTCAGTAATTGTCAGAATTCTGGAGAATAATGAAACATTAAAACATTAAAATATTTTTGTGAAACATTAAAATATTTAATCCCCCCTGCCCCCAACCCCCTCCACCCCGCCCCATCAATTTGGGTAGTCATATTATTTTCTCAGTTAATTGTCCTTGAATAAGATTATAATATATAAGAAGTGATAAGATTTAGTGATAAGGATATACCTATAAAAGAGTTAAGGACAAAGTAGATCACCTTAGAATATATAATTAGAGCAATCCTTGTTAAATTTTTAATTATCAGTACGAGCACAGTGACTCATTCCTCTTTTAAGAGCTGCATCATCATTTATTTTTTGTATAAATTATGATTGGGGAAAGAGAATTCTGACCCAATCTAACTAAATCAATAATCTTGCAATTTTTTACTGTATTTTCTCAATTTTTTCCCCATGGTAGTCTACTTGAGTTACTTGGATGTACGCTGTATGATACTGCCTTGTAATGGAACAGAAATGTTTATATTTTTAAGAATAATTTGAATGTTAATGTATAAAATTTGTATGCTTTAACTTCACTTATTTGATGGTGGAAATAGAATTGATAGTGTAACTGAAACTTTGTAGACTCAAGTCTGCTATAAGAATGTGAGGGCATGTTATACTTTGGACACATTTCATTTGAAATCACTTTGTTAGGCTAGAAACATAAAAATCCATAATATATAAAACCCAAGTAAAAGTCATGCTTGGTGCATTGGCCCAATAATACAAAGAATAATTCCAGATCTTGCCAAGTTTTACCCAATTGGGCAGCTGTGCTAAGTGTTTCTATCCTACCATATCCTATAAAACTGATTTAAGAGATTGTAATGTTTCCTTTTTTTAGTTTTTGGTTTTTGTATTACTGAGTTACTGAAACTGCATGACAAACTTTAAAAACCATTTATTGTAAAATGTATTTAAATTCAATATAAAGGAAGATCTTTGCAAATTTCTTTCTCTTAGTCATTCAACTTGGGTTATATGCTCTGTTTTAACTACTGGTTTTAGACTGAGTAACGAACAGGGTAAACATAGTTCCTACTTTATTTTTCCTACTTAGCTTGCAGTCAATATTTGAGTGCATTTATAGCTTGGTGGGTTAATGGATATATTATTTAACATCATGCCCTTCAAGACCTGATACCAATGTGTAGAAAACATAGAAAAAACATCTTTTACTACTTCACTGTTGTCTGTTATCTTTAAAGTGTGTATAAGTAGAACACTGATTATGGTCTTAAAGTATAGATTTGATATGTAAAATAGTAAAATTACTTCATGTAAAAAAGGAAAATTTGGGGTTAATAACCAGTAATCCAGTAGTCCAAGAATGAATTAACAGTTGACTTCAGTGCTTTAAAAATTAAATGTTGTTTGGAATAGTGAAGGATTGAGCCATAAAATTTTTTATTGTTTTTGTATCAGATGCAGTATTAAACCTTTATTCATGTGTTTTCTCATTTGTGACGTATAGTATATGGTGATTTTCCTTTTCTCAGATGAGAGAATGGAGTTTTAAGTAATTGGTTTATCTAAGGTCCTTCACAAAGCTGGTAAATGCGATATCTGGTATTTTAGTCCAGACTAAAACTGACTCCAAAACTCTGTATCTTAACATGTCATTAACTCTTTGTAAAAAACTATCCTTTATTATGTTGATAATATAAGAAGCTAGTAGATGACTATTCTCATTTAAACATTGATAACCAAATTGAGTCATTTCATAAACTCTTAAGTATCTTAAATGTTTTTATGCTCTCATAATTTATACCCAGGAGCATTTTGGCATTTAACTTAAAGGGTCCTTAGATATACTACTTCAGTGCAAACTAGTAGGAATTGAGATAAGTTGAGTCTATGCACTGGCTCTTAGGAGAATTATTTAATAATATAGGTTTTCTAATGTAGATTGCAAAATAGTAATCACCTTGTCTTCATGTATACTGCCAGGTGCTTATTGATGAAGAAACTGATTATGTAGACAGCTGGTTTTACTATTTCTTCATTGAAGTAATAAGAATCAATTTTGCATATCATAAGATATCCTGGGTGTTTCTTCAAAAAAATTTTAATTTAAACGTTTATAGACTTTAAAAGTTTTAAAAATATTTAAAATGAAATCTCAAAATTAATGTTTTTTATTTTAGCACTTTTCCAGCCATTAACTCCTGGCTCTCGAGAATTTGAAGATGTCTTAAATATTCTGCGTTCGTCTTACCTTGAACCAACCTCTGTAACAAATTTTAACTACAAACGTGCTTGCTTGATACACAATGAACTTTTGGAAAAGGAGGTATGTTTTAAGTTGTACCATTAATGAGATTCTTCAGAACCCAGTTACTAGCATGGAATGTGCTTTTTACTTTCATGGAAAAAATGCCATTAGTCTTTAGAGAAGCCAAATTACAGAAGGGAAAACAAGTTTTCGAATGACAATATCCTCCCTTCCTCCATCCCAGACATTTGTAGATATACCCCTACATTTAGTTGCTCTATTAAATTGATGCGTAATTATGTAAATTCTTTTATTAAAACTGAATTTTAAACCAAGGAGGGTCCTAGGATTCAATATTGCCCTGAAATTGCTAATTGCCCTGCAACTTGACCAACTTGCACGTGGCCAACTTGATGGATCCCTAGGACCACATATGGTCCCCAGAACATAGCCAGGAGTGATTCTGAACCAAGTGATTCAGTGATTCTGAACCAGCCCTGAGCACTGCTGGATATGGCCCTTGAGATAATAATAATAAATAATCTTACTATAGGAATGATTTGTTGCATAATGGCTTAATTGTAAAACCATTGCAAGACTTTCTGCTTTACTGAGTACATGCTAATTGAATGGAAACAATACAATCAAGTTGGAAGATTAATCAGATGTATGCTTTATAATATGCATTACTCTTTTCCAATTTTTGCCTTGTTGATGAATTACCTTAATGTGACTAGTAGAACTCATTAGAAAGCATAAAGGGGAATGGCTGAGTATTTTAGATAGTAAATTTAAATTTCACGTAGAAATTAGACAACTCTTTGGGTGCTGATTTAGGTAAAGTATGTGTAAACTGAGTTAATAGAAATGAGATATTTAAAAATATTTGATATTTTGGGCTAGGGATACTAGTTTCAGTGGTAGAGCAAATGCCTTGCATATGTCTGAATTTAATTACTGGCACTGCGTGCCACCCTCTACTGTTGGCTTGGGTCCCCATTGAGAGTGTCCCTATTTTTGTAAATAGCACTTTAGCAATATTGGCTATTTATGTTGCATTCTAGTGGACATAGAATACAATTGATTTTATACTTTTGTAATTTGTTTATCCTGGTACCATAAGAATTTAACTTCGAAAGGATCTTCGAAAGGAAAGTGAGTGAGGGGCTGGAGGGATAGCACAGCGGGTAGGGCATTTGCCTTGCACGTGGCAGACCCGGGTTCGATCCGCAGCATCCCATGTGGTCCCCCGAGCACCGCCAGGAGTGATTCCTGAGTGCATGAGCCAGGAGTAACCCCTGTGCATCGCTGGGTATGGCCCAAAAAGCAAAATAAATAAATAAAAAATAGTGTGTGTGAATGTTAATGACATACAGAATAGTTCATGTATTTTCATGTCATTTTATAGTATGATAGGTTGTTAATTTTGGAGGGAGATGAAGGGAGTTGTGCCAAATTTTTTCAGTGTTCAGGTGCTACTTCTGGTTCTGTGCTCAAGGGATCAAATCTGGGATTGGCTACCTGCAGGGCCAGTGCCTCAACTCCTGTACTCTCCAGCCTGAGTAGTTAATTTTATATGAGAATCTAAATAATTATTAGAGAACAGTACTGACCCGAATTCTATATAAATCTAGTAGTTATGGGCTCCTTGTTTTGAATATATTTGTTTGTATCTAAAAGTGATAATCATTAGTTTAGGGTGATACACAGTTCAGATATATAAGACCAATTCCCTCTTCTATCCTGGAAGTGTGTGTTGAGAATGTATTGTTACTAAGTATATTTGGCATTAAGAATAGAGTTAAGGGCCAGAGAGTTAATACAGGGATAAGACTTCTGCCTTCCAAGCATTTGACTCTGGTTAGATCTCCAGTACTGCATATGGTCCTTTCAGCACAACCAGGAGTGATCCATGAGCCCTGTCAGATATTGCCAACTTACTTTCCCTTCTCCTTTCCCCTTCCACCCCCCCTCCCCCCAAAGAAACTAAGACATATATTATATGGGAGAATTTGGTGGTGGTAAAATTTTAATAAAAATGTACTTAAAATTGATAAACACTGGGTGCTAAGTTTACTGTAAAGGGTTAGACCCAGTTTTAACGGGAAAATTGAATCAGAGTCTACAGGAAGAGAAAAAACTGTTTTGGTCTAGAATACTTTGGAAATAAAATTTCTGAAATTTTTTTTTTTTTTTTTTTTACTTTTTGATGCTGTGATGCTCAGGGGTTACTCCTGGCTCTGTGCTTAGGAATTACTTCTGCTGGTGATTGTGGGGACCATATGGGATGCCAGGGGTCATTTGGGTCCGCAAACACCCTACCCACTGTAGAGAGGGAAATAGATGTCACTTCGGCTCCCTCTGCAATTTTTGAAAAATTTAAACTTGAAAAAACGTATTTGCATGCTAAGGCGTTGATACAGATTTAATTTCTTTTAGTTTACAGAAAAGCGAAGAGAGCTGAAATTTGATGGTCGTTTAGATAAAGAACTTTCAGAATCCTATGCGTTTCTCATGGTTGATCGATATCAGGTGAGTGAAATCCATTTTATAATGAAATTTGAGACTTTCTGTGAGGTCTCGTACCTGATTCTTGACTTAAAAAGAAAACATGCAATTTGAGGTTTTTTTATTTTAATTCACAAATTTTTCAATTAACGGTGTAAGATAAATATAACATTTTCTTTATTGGAAGTGGAAGAAATTGTTAGGGCAAGGTATCTCTTATAATTTATTTTTTCTTATAATTTATTAATTAGAATTTTGTTTTAACTTTATTTGTGGCACCATAACTTGCAGTACTATTAATGGTAGTTTCATGCTATAATGTTCCAACACCACACCTCCCACCAAACTCTGTTTCCCTCTCTACCTTTATTTGATTTGCTTTTTAAAAAATCTGTTCATTGCATATTTTCTTTCTTTAGAATGTCCAATGAATAATTTTCCTTTCCATAGATTATCTTGCATACTTCGGAGAGCCCGGCAAGCTACCGAGAGTATTCGATATGCCAAACACAGTAACAACAAAGTCTCCAATGGAGATGTTACTGGGCCCGCTCGAGCAAATCGACGATCAACGGGAGGGCCTTTACCTTTACCTTTTATCTTGCATACTTGAGTTGGGTTTTGTTGTGGGGGTTGTGGGGTGCTGTTGGGGCGACACCTAACAATACTCAGGGACTGTTTCTGCCTCTTGATCAGGAATTACCCAGTGCTTCAGGTATCATATTTGGTTTTAGGGGTTGGCTGCATGCAATGCAAGTGCCTACCTTCTACTATCTCATGCCCTGCATATTTACAACATGACTACCTTGTACTATCTCCTGCCCTCCAAATATATAATATTTTTTTGTCTTTAAAGATGTTTAGATGGGGTTACTTTGTCTCGAAATATTTTTGTGTGGTTGGGAAGATAGCTTAGAGGACTAGATCAAATGCTTTTGCCATTAAAAGTTTTAGGTCAGTCTGACACTGCATGGTCTTCTGAGCACTGCTGTTACTCAGTAAAAGCAAAATAAATAAGTGGATCATTTCCTGGTTTCATTTTTTCCCTACAAGAAAATCTGTAAATGTGAATGGCAAGTATTCCAAATATATATCTGATCTAGCAAAAATGAGTTCCATGTATGATTGGAAGTATAAGTCAATTTTCATATTGCTATTTAGTTATGATCTGGCACAGGAATAAGACTTCTGTGATAGAGACAATGCATAGTTTAGAAGTTTAGGATTTATTTAAAAACAGATTAAATATTTTCTTTATTGTTAATGTGTTATAATTGTAAAATACAGTGTTTCTTTATATAGGTTCAAAGTGTGTGTGAAAAAGGAGTACAGGTGGGCCATTCCAAAATAACAATTCTTGGAAATCCTTCCATGGGTAATTTTTTTTTCTTTTTCTCTTTCTACATTAAGTTGTTATTTAAAACTATATAATCTGATTTTGGTATAGTTCTAGTTCTTATGATTAAGTTCATATGTGTTTTCAGGTTGCCCAAAATTAGACTAATTTCAGCCTCTAGATTTTAAAACCATCTCTAGCATTTGATTCTAATTTTGCATTCTTCAAACTGATCAAAAATACTTTTTCTTAAAAATGTCAGCTGTATTCCTAGAGAATTTGAAATTTTTGATTAGTGCATGTTTTTATCAATTTTTAAAAATAGCTGTTTTCTTGTCCTTAAATTTTTTAATGACACATTTTTCTTATTAGGCTAAATGTTTGAATTTTTTAGTACTTGTGTCCTCTTTACTAAAATCCTGAAATTTTTTCTTCTTTACTAGGTGTTTATCTTTCTAGATATGCTGATTTATTACAAGCTAATCCTTTGGAAGCTGGGACAATGGGTGATGTTGTTATTTTTAAAATAATGAAGGTAATATCACCGTTTCTATTATATCAAAGATGAAAATTGGTTTGAATTTTAGTTGACACTAAAGTTTCATTAAATTAAGATTGATTTTTGCTAGTGTTTTAGAATAAGGATGCTTTTTTGATCTAAGATTTTTTCTTTCCAAAGAGAATTTTCTATGAAAAGAGGATAGTATTTTGATAATGTCTTTTAAGCTAGTGAAAAGTATTGTAAATAAAATTATTGTAAATAAAATTTTATTTACTTATTATAAACAATAGCTTTTTTCCTTTCTATTTCACTACTGATAAGAAGTTTGGGGTGTTACTTAATTACCTGATACTAAAGAAAAGCTTAATGATGATTTTTTTATTTGAAGAAATATTCTATCAGACTTTGGTATAGTTAGTAGTTAAGTTTAGGTTGACTTAAAAGGTTTTTGTAATTACAGGGTAAAATAAAGAGTATTTATGATCCCATGGGTGTAAAAAATTTGGAATCTATGTTAAGTAAAAGTGCTTTGGACCCAACACCAAAACATGAATGCCACATGTCGAAAAATGCCAATAGAATAACATCACTTTTGGCTTATAGAGCCTATGAGCTTACTCAGGTACGTTTCTGAGTCTATTCAAGAATTGTGTGCACATATCTGTTGGTCACCAAATACTTTAAAATGTATCTCCCTTTCAACTCTTGCTACCACCCTATCTGTCTAGACTCTGGATTTTGCGTGTCATTGCCACTCTCACAGTAGTCTCTCCCTTCTATTTGGTCATTATTTCTAGTATTTTATAGTTGACTCCTCAGACTTACAGAGAAATAATCAGATTCCTTTGCCAGTCACTGTCTGTAAATTGTGAAGTCTAGCCTCTTTTATTATATATTTTTTATTAACCGTTGACCCTAATATGCCTGTTCTCTTCCTTTGGGGGATGGGTGGGGCAACACTTGATGATGCTCAGGGCTTACTCTGCACTCAGGTATCGCTCGTAGCAGATTCAGTTCAGGGGACCATATCTGCTGCCAGGGATTAAATTTGGGTCAGCCATGCACAAGGCAAGTTCCCTACCTGCTATACTATTGCTCCAGCCCCTAACATAATCCCATTTTGAAGTTTTGGTATCACCTGGCCTGGAAAGATCTCTAATGGTATACTACTACTACTCCTTCAATAAAAGGTTGTAACCCCATGTGAAATAAAATATGAAGTACTTTAATTCATATTTTTTCCTACTGACTTTGTGTTTTGCTTTTGGTCCTCATCTGACTGTGTTCAGGATTTACTTCTGGTTCTGTGTTCATGGATCACTTCTGGCAGTGCCTAGGTTATTACATGGTGCTGGGAATTGAATTTGGGTCAGCCACAAGCAACTCTTACCCATTGTATTCTCTTTCTGGTCTGTGACTTAACAGATTTTTACCCCTAGTTTTTTTTTTGTTTATGCAGTACTTAAAATGATCAAACCTAGGGCCTTATATAAGTGAGGCATGTACTGTACCTCTGAGCCATATCAACAACCTGATATTTTCTGTCTTAACATTTATCTAAGATGCAAACTTAGAGTTAAGGTTACTATTATTTCTTTACCTGCCCCCTTTTCTTTTCTTTTTTTTTATGACCTGGCTTGGTTGCATGCACCAAGGATTCCAAAGAACAGTGTTGCTGGTATTTCACTTGGTATGTGGAGTAGCGGGCTGGAGCGATAGCACAGCGGTAGGGCGTTTGCCTTGCACGCAGCCAACATGGCCGACCCGAGTTCAATTCCTCCGCCCCTCTCGGAGAGCCCGGCAAGCTACTGAGAGTATCTCGCCCGCATGGCAGAGCCTGGCAAGCTCCCCGTGACGTATTCGATATGCCAAACACAGTAACAACAAAGTCTCCAATGGAGACGTTACTGGGCCCGCTCAAGCAAATCAATGATCAACGGGAGGGCCTTTACTTACTTTACTTTATGTGGAGTAGTGTTGGGAATAGAATTTGAAGCTTCACCTTTACAAAATTGCCATTCTACTTCTGAACCATTCCCTTGGCTCTGAGTTAATTTTTTAAGCTTTATTCAGTTACTGATTACACGTTAAACATGCTTCAAAATATATTAGTTCACAAACTTTATATGATGTTTCACTATAATAGAATAGTGTTATTTTTTCTAACATGTGAAAACCATACAGTTGGCTCTAGAAAAGTATGATCTCCCTTGCCTTCAGTAGAAAATAGGTCATGGGTATCTATCTGCAGGTTCCACATAAATGGATTTACTCAACTGATATATAAGGTGGGTTTAATCTGCAAATGCAGGTCAGCATTTGGATGGGCCCTTAGAGTTCAAACCTGTGTTCAAGAGCTTTTGTTCAGAAGTAAGTTATATATATGTGTGTGTGTGTACACACACACACACACACACACACACACACACACACACACACCCATACCCATACCCATGTATCTCCCAATGGAGTGTATGTGAGTAATGGTGCAAACCTCTGAAAGGCTTTTCAGTTTTTACTTTTATTTAACATAAACATTCATTTTTGCTCTTTTTCTATATTTTTCTCTTATATTATTTCTACTGTCTTTCCCCTTTAATTTTCCCTTTCTCTCATTGTTGATGCTGCAGATGCCTGGGATTCAAAAACATACTTGGCTTTGATGCTTGTACATGATTGTGGTACACCCACATTGTGGCTGTAGTGCTCATAGATATTTTCAAGAGATCATTTCTGGCCTTGGAGCTCACTTATATTTTTAGATGTTGTGCTCCCTAGGAATCACACCCCTTTGTGATTTATATCCCACTGTGATACTCCCAGTGGTCACTTGTAGCACTGACTACAACATACAGGCTCAAACTTTCAGGCTCAAAAACTAAGCTTCTAGGATCACAACTTAGTAGAAAATTGGTCATGGGTATCCATCTGCAGGTTCCACATATATGGAACTAGGGATTTGAATTTATGACTATAGACTTGTAAGGCAGCCATTAAGCCCTTGTACTGTTCTTCCTGGCCACTTGCTAATTTTGAGCTATTTTTGCTCTTTTCTGAGGTGGGGAAGTACTCCTCAGAGGCTAATGTCAGCAGTTTTCATTATTGACAGGGGATTCATACCTGTTGGGTTTGGGAGAACTTGTGGACTCAGAGATCTAATTTCATTTTTTTTTTTTTTTTTTTTTTGCATCAAAGCACATACTCCAGCTCTTAGAGCAATTTCTTAGGCCTGCTCATTTCTTTTTAAAGAATCTCTTCATGGGTAAGAACTATTGTTGGGGGCTTTGGAAAAATTATTTATTATCAGTGTCATCTGAATATATTGATTACTTTTTAGATAGTAGTAGTACTGATAACTAATAGTTATGGATTTTTCTCACAGAACTTATAAACTGACTTGATGCTTCCCAAAATTTTCAGGCATTTTTAGAGAAACAACATTTTGAAATCAATAGTTTTCCAAGGGAATGGATTTTGAAGGACAGTGCTCTTCAGTAACTCCACATACAAGTGATTTTTAAAATGAATATCACTTATCAGAAGTCATAAAACCCTAACCTAATGAATGTTGTGAATAGCTAAAGGAAAGAAGCAATATGGATATTATAAAAGAAGTGAGCTGGCTACCCTTGTCACCTATGTTTCTAATTCCTTACCTCCCTTTTGCTGCTTTGCTACAGTTGGAGTTAAGAATTTTTCGTTTGACTTAATGGGTATGAGATTGTGAATGAGAATGTTCTAATATTTTCATATTTTATTTTAGTTCTGGGGCCATACCCAGAAGTGCTCAGGTCTTACTCCTGAATTTGTGCTCGGATTGTGTCTGGTGCTGCTCAGGGGACCACATGTCATCTAGTGATTAAACCAGGGATTAACCATACCTTAGCCTTTGTACTGTCTCTCTGACCTTATATCTAGTGTTTTACTTTTGGTATCAAATTGACTTTTCTGAGCTGACTCTGATAGTTTAGCCTTCTTTTTTAAAAACCATTTTTAATGAGGAAATTTGGTGAATATTTTTAGTGGTTAACTATTGAAAAATACACTTTGGAATATGATACCTATTAGTACCTTGGAATTTCATTAAATATAGAAAGGAAATATTTTCTTGGTAAGCAAATATAAAGCAGTAGTGCTATAGTTAAATTAACAAGTATTGCTTATTTTCTGTTAGGGGTTAGGGAACTTAGATAGTATCATTTCTAAAATATTAGGCAGATAAATGTGATTCCACTCTACTTTTTTAAATAATTGGAGAGGGGAAAGGGCTTTCCTGGCACTGCTCTGAGCCTAGAAATCACTCCCTGTGGATGCCTGCGGAATTGGGGGAGGACAACCAGGGCCATCCTGGCATTTAGGAGCTGCCACGGTTATACCTAGATGTGTGTGTGTGTGTGTGTGTGTGTGTGTGTGTGTATGTGTGAGTGGGGGCTGGGGGGGACATGGGGGAATTAGGAGGATATTAGGACAGGAAGCAAGAATAAGACAAGTGTCGGGGGTCAAATTGGGTATCTTGCTTACCCATTTTGCTATCTCCCCAGCCCCTTCTCTGTATATCATGACTTCTTACAGAATTTTATTTTGCATTTTCTTATTTTTAGTATTATTTTTATGAGTATGGCTTTGATGAGTTAAAGAGAAGACCAAGACATGTGTGTCCATATGCAGTTGTGTCTTTTACTTACAAAGATGATATACAGTCGCTGAAGTTTGCATCTTCAATAAGGTAAGATTTTTGAGTCTTAAACATTGACAATTACATTCTCATTACATCAAGAATTAATGGTATTAGATTACATATCATGCACTTCTGGGTTAGGAGAGGCATTTATTTCTGTCTCATCTTTTTTTCCTTGCCTTGAAATTAATTAGATTCATGGGTGTTCATGATGACTGTTTTGACAGGTATTTAAAGTAGGTAGAAATAGAAATTTTGCATAGCTGACCAAATGCAGTTTTTATTTATTTTTTATGTAGGAGTACTACTGTTTATTCAGCCACTGATTAGCTGATTGAATTGGTCATGAACTCCACCTTACTTTTTCTTTTCTTTTCATTTTTTATAATTTTATTTATTGAATCACCGTGAGAGCACTTACAAAGCTTATGGGTTTAAGTCTCGGTCATACAATGAAACACCCGTACCTTCACCAGTGCCCATTCTCCACCACTAAAAGCCCCAGTATACCCCCATCCCACACCCTCCTCCTACCTGTGGGGCAGATGATTTTCACATTACTCTCTCTCTACCTTGATCACATTCAATATTTTGATACCAGACCCACCATTATTATTTGGAAGTATACCCCAACACTCAGATCTGCTGAAAAGGCAACAGTAGACAATTTGTTTTCTATTGCTGGTTAAGAATAACATATGATGTCGTTGGCTATAGTAGTGGCTGTGCGATTTTGAAATTCCGAAATTTTAACACTTAAATCTGGAGGGATTTCTACCAAAACTTGCTGGGTTCCGAGACTTGTTCCTGAGTCTCTGGGATCATGGCCATTAAGCAGCTTGATCAGGAGCCAGAAAGGCCGTTCATGGGCGGCCACTCGGGGTCTCATTGAGAAGAAGAGGAAAGGGCCGGCTCCACCCCCATCCCATGAAGCCTTGCGTGTCTTGTCACTGTGGGCCCAAACCTTACTGTCCAGTGGCCTCTGGAGAATGGTGGCCACTGTACCTCCAGGGGGAACAGGCCAAAGCATGAAACCTATTCCCACCTGGGGTGACCCAGCGCCAGTAACCTACTACAGGAACCGAACGCATTTCTGCCAAAAGCCGCTGGGTTTCGAGACTTGTTCCTGAGTCTCTGGGATCATGGCCATTAAGCAGCTTAATCAGGAGCCAGAAAGGCTGTCTTGTGGTGGGGAGGAAAGGGCCGGCTCCACCCCCATCCCGTGAGGACCTCCATGTCTTGTCACTGTGGGCCCAGACTGTCCAGTGGCCTCTGGAGAATGGTGGCCACTGGGCCACCAGGGGGAACAGGCCAAGGCACAAAACCTATTCCCACCTCGGTTGGCCCAGCGCCAGTAATCTACTGCAGCAACCAGACGCATTTCTGCCAAAAGCCGTTGTGTTTCAAGAGCCAAGACCTATTCCCACCTGGGGTGGCCCAGCACCGGTAACCTACTGCAGGGACCGGACACGTTTCTGCCAAAAGCCGTTGTGTTTCGAGATTTGTTTCTGAATCTCTGGGATCATGGCCGTTAAGCAGTTCGATCAGGAAGCAAAGAGGCCATGTCTCTAGTTATATACCTGAACCCGAGGTGGTTTGTGGGTGTGTCTCCCACATACCTAACTTTTGGCCGTTTACTTTCTTGCTAAATTTTGCCCCAAGATTTTGGGGTCTGGCCAAAGGCACAGCAGCAATTTTGGGGTATCTGGAAGTCTGAAGGTGCCATCAGGCTGCTGATGGTGCCTCAAAGGTACAGATTGACCTGCTGGCGGCACCATACCCCCCAAATGCAGTTTTTATTTTTTTTAATTATTTATTTCGAATGCCCATCGCTCCACCAGTGCCCATTTCCTAACACCACGGATCCCAGTATCCCTCTAACCCCCCCATCCCCCCTATCCCACCCTACCTCTGTGGCAGGGTATTCCCCTCTGTTCTCTCTCTCCTTATGGGTGTTGTGGTTTGCAGAAAAGTTAAGCCTGATTTTCAGGGAGAAACATTGTATGATTTACTTTCCATTGACCACTTTGTATATAAGAACCGCGCGGTTTGGAAAAAATGTCCTGGTACCCTCATGCCAGAGCTTTGCTTGTAGAGGCTCATGGTCACCGGGGTTCCATCTGGAGAAGGCAGGATGCAGCACCTACCCCATCTGGGACCTCCTGGTGATAACAGCTCTGTTTGGGACCTGGAGCATTCTCCAGGAGCTGTGGGGCCCTCCAGCCGGTTTTCTCCTTTGTTGCTGTGTCCAAATGCAGTTTTTAAGAGACAAATTTTATTAGTTATCTTGTAAATGAGGACCTTCCACAAAAGTTGCTTCATCCTTGTGTTAAACCAGTTAACTATTAAGAAGTCTAATAAGCATGGTAGTATTAAAAAAAAGACTTCTAGGAGATAATTTCTTACAAGTTGACTCATTGTAAGAAGCAGTTAACACCACCCCTACCCCCCACAAGCACACATGCACACACCTGTCTTGTGATTTTAGAAAATGTGTGTAAGTGTTTTGTTTTTGGCCTCCTGTGGGAACCCAGAGGACTTGAGGATGCAGTGATGCTTGGCCCTGCAGTGTGGAGAATACTCTGATGTACCCTAGTAGTAGTACTGAGATCCATTAGGGCCAAATATGGCTGTCCTTGGGACCTTCTAGTACTGCACTGAGCGATTCTCAGTGACCACTAGGGCTGCACATGGTGCTGCTTGGGGGAACATGTGCTGGAGATCAGGTCTGGCCAAATGCAAGGCATCACTTTGACCCAGCTACCCCCTATACTGTTTTGACAGTCTCTAATAAAAGATTTGGCAAAATTGAATAGGTAAATTTATATAAATGTAGATGAAATAGAGTACTTTGTTTTGTTACTTTTTACTTTTAGTACATATTTAAAATCAAATGTGATACATATTTAGCAATATAAATGCTTTAAAAAGCCATATTTCTTAAAATACTCATTATTTTTTTATTTTATTATTATTATTTTTTTACTTTTTGGGTTACACCCAGCAATGCACAAGGGTTATTCCTGGTTTTGCACTCAGGAATTATTTCTGGCAGTGCTGAGGGGACCATATGGGGGTGCTGGGATCGAACCTGAGTTGGCCATGTGCAAAGTAGATGCCCTACCCATTGTGCTATCTCTCCAGCCCCACGTACTCATTTTTTAAGGCTGACCTCTTTGTTGATTTTCCTGATGAAATTGTTCTTTTCATTTAAGTAGCTTGAGATCCAGTTGTTTATATCTGTGATATCGTTGGGCTGGAGCGATAGCACAGCAGGGAGGGCGTTTGCCATGCACGCAGCCAACATGGCCGACCTGAGTTCTATTCCTCCGCCCCTCTCGGAGAGCCCGGCAAGCTACCGAGATTATCTCGCCCGCACGGCAGAGCCTGGCAAGCTACCCGCGATGTATTCGATATGCCAAACACAGTAACAACAAGTCTCATGATGGAGACATTACTGGGCCCGCTCGAGCAAATCGATGAACAGCGGGAGGATTGTGACCCTGATATTGTTGAAAATCATCCACAGCCAAGTTCTTAATTCACATAATATTCAGACAGTTCTGTTTTTAGGGTAGCTCTGTATTTATGACCCCCATGACATATTTACTAAAGAGTCAGTGAGTTTTGTAAATTATTAATGATTTTGTTTTGGGACTATCCCCAGTAGTGCTTATGGGCTACTGTCTATGGTGCTAGGGGTCCATGTGGTGTGGGGATCAAAATAGAGCGTCCTGCTGCCGGGGAGATAGTACAGAGTAAGGTATTTAGCTTTCACACAGCTGACCCAGTTTGATGCATGTGGTCTTTTGCGTACCACCAGGAGTGCTCTCTTAGCACAGAGCCAAGAGTAGATCCTGAGCACAGGCAGGTATGGCCCAAAAACTGAACAAAACCTGGGACAGGAGGTATACAATAGATGTGTTAAACCCATTGAGTTATTTGGCCTTCAATTGTGATTTTAATTTTAATTTTTAATTTTTTTTGTTTGTTTTGGGCCACACCCAGTTGTGCTTGGGGCTTACTTCTGACTCCAGTTCACGCAGGGGTCTCTCCTGGTAGTACTTATGGGACCATATGTAGTGCTGGGGATTGAATCTGGCTGGGTTAGTCGTGTACACGGCAAGTGAAGTGCCCTATCAGCTGTTCTATCACGTTGGCCCCAACAAGTAACTTTTGTTCTACTTGAAGAAAGGATTTAATTATATATGTGTCATAAAAAGTAGCATGGTAGGGAATGGGAGAGTTAGTATAGTGGCAGGGCGCTTGCCTGGTGACTGACCTAGGTTTGATTCCCAGCAGCCCAGATGGTCCCCATAGCCCACCAGGAATAAGCCCTGAGAACATTTGAGTGTGCTCTATAATCAAAAACAAAGCAAAAGTAGCACACTATATCAATGTCCAGACTGTTTACTGTCATGCTATTGTCATTCAATAATATTTTTCTTTTCTTCTAAAAATCTTATTTGTAGATCCAGTAGCTTTAATGCAGATAGAAACACAGGTAAGATTTTTGTGTTTATTTCCTTAAGTTTTATAAGCTGAAAAAAATACAAATGCATAGTAAATGATTAATAAGTTAGGTGCTTCAGGTTTTTAAATGAACAAAAATGTACAAAGTAGAAAAAGGATGGGACCTTATGATGTATGATCAGTTTTTGATTGTTTAAGTATACAGTCTCAATTGAGAAGCTGCTGCTATGAATAGAACAGTGTATTTTTTTTAAAAGCACCTTAATTAAAAACATGAAAACATGTTTCACAGCTCATCTTTTAAACATGCCAAGTTGTTAAAGACTCTGGATTTTAAAAAGAGCAATATTAGTATTTTTATCTTCAATATTAGTATCTTTTTGTCACAGTGAAAAGAGAACTAGTTGGAAATATGAGCTACTGTGGGGGATTTGTGCAATTAGCAAGATTCACTAACTTCTTTTGGAGGAAAAAAGAGATCAGTTTTTTGATAAGAGAACAGTTAGACAAATTAATCATTTACTGCAGCTTGAATAATTTTATTGGGAAAAAAACCCAAGGAACAAAATTTTTATAATTTTAACTTTTGTTATTTTAATAGAAATATCAAGTTTTTATGCCAAATACCAGTAAAAATGATGGGTCTCATCTTCCTAATCCTGAAAGGGCATTGAAATGGCTCTTTTAAAATCTCAGGGCTAGGTAGAAGGAGACATTACTGGTGCCTGTTTGAGACAATCGACGAACAACAGGATGATCGTGATTGTGATCAAGTTTTTAAAATTGTTATTCTCTTTAAAGTGTAGATATCTTCCCAGTTATGTTTTGTAAACACACTTGATTTTGGACTATATATACTCGATATTGAACTATATTATTCTTTATATTTAGATAAATTTAACTATACCTTGTGGAAAGGACAGCTTCTAAATAAAGGAAAGCTTTTGTGTTATGTTTTTCTGCGATCAGCTACTCGGGCATCTTTGCCTATCAAACTGTAAGTATGTTGTATTTTGAAAAATTAGCTGTTAGTAGTTATCCTTTAATTCAGTTTCTTTTTTTTACCCTAGTTTTTAGTTTTTTTTAAATTAAATTTTTGTACTTTATTTAAACACTGTGGTTTACAAAGTTGTTCATAATACAGTAAAGGCTTTTGATGTTCCTATACCACTCCCACCACCAGAGTGTTCTGTCCCCTGACTATTGTACTCATTTTCCCAACCACAACCAAACTTACCCCCTCAGCAGGCAAACAGTGATTTGTTTATACTGCTTGTTACAACCAGATGACAAAAGAAATTATCAACAATATTTCAGTAAAAAAAAATTATGAAAATAAATCTCACCACCGGGCCATTAAGTCTTTGAGAATTTACTAAGCTGTGTGTGTGTTATTTTTGTTTGTTTTTATTTGGCTTCTATGTTGCTTTTCCATCTAATTTAGTGCGCTCCTACTGGATATCAGTACAGTGGAATTTGCATGGTCCAGAGACTTCAGGATCTCTAGAACTGGGATGAGTTGTAGATTGTTAATGAAGCTGTGGATTTGGGCCATTGGCATGGCAGCAGCACTGGGGTGTGGGTGCAGTTGCTGGGGCTTTAGACAGGGCAGGTACAGGAGATAGATTTAAGAGTTTTCAGCTAGGAGATTGGAATGTCCATCAAGTTTCTGTTCTGGTGTATAAGAAGTTAAATATAACATTGGTTTATCCTTTAAAAGATTTATTTATTTTGGTTTTGGGGCCACACCTGGCTATGCTCATGTCTTGTTGCTGGCTCAGCTCTTGTTGATCATTTCTGGTGGGCTCAGGGGAACATAAGGGGTGCTAGGGATCAAACCCAGGTCACATGAATAAAAGGCAAGCGCCTTACCCACTGAAAGGTGCTTCCTCCCTCTCCCCCCCCCCCACCCCTTTTGGGCATCATGGCTTGCAAAACAGGTAGAGGCCATCATGTTTGCTCCTTTACCCGCTTTCAGCACACATTTTCTATCCAGAGTAATCCCTTCCAACTTCATTGTCATTTCCCAGCTTCCCTTTCCCCCAGCTCTTGAGGCAGGCTTCCAACCTTGGACCATTTGTCCTGATCCTTGTTTCTACTGTCCTTGGATGTTAGTCTCATACTATGTCCCCCCCCCCCCCCCTTTTAATATCCCACAAGTGAATGCAGTCATTCTGTATCTGTCCTCCTTTTGACTTATTTTCACTTAGCATGATACTTGGGCTGGAGCGATAGCACAGCAAAGGGTTGTTTGCCTTGCACGCGGCTGACGTGGCCGACCCAGGTTTGATTCCTCTGCCCCTCTCGGAGAGCCTGGCAAGCTACCGAGAGTATCTCGCCCTCACTGCAAAGCCTGGCAAGCTACCCATGACTTATTCTATATGCCAAACACATTAACAATTGTCACAATGGAGACATTACTGGGCCCGCTTGAGCAAATTGATGGACAATGGGAGGACAGTGACAGTGACAGCATGATATTCTCCATGTCCATTGTTAATTTTTTGTATTCATTTTTATTGATTTTAGTTCTGTGAAACCACCAATACTTTATTGGTGAGCTTCCATGCACCACACCTATTACCAGTATGCCACCCTCTTCCCAAGGACTCTCAGCTAAAATGATAATCTTTTATCTCTTGTGATTAGTACAATTGGCATATAGGATTAGCTTCTGAAGCAAAGATTTAAAAACAATATTTCAGGTGATGTCTTCTACCTTTGTATATCTGAACATCCCATATCAAATCCTTTTTAAAGAATGAAATGAATATTCTTTTTCATATATACATGAATATTGCAATGTTAAAAATAAAGATTGGAAAACATGATTTTTCAATTTTCTTTTCAGTCCTGAGAAGCTTGATGTTGAAGCAGTTATGAGTATTGATCATCTAAAACAAAAAATCCCTCCAGCGCTATTTTATAAGGAAACATACGTAGGTCCAAATGAAGGTAATTTAATTTTATTGAAATACTTAAGAGGGATGGAGGGTATAGATCAGTGATAGAGCATATGACTGTAGGCTTGAGGCTTTAGGTTTAATTCCTGGTATTGCAAAAACAAAAAAAAAGCAGGGGGAAATGTATATATGAAATCTATTTGAGTATTTACTATGTATTTTTTTCTTACATTAGTTTTGAAGAATGGAATGTATTGCAGCCTTTATGAAGTTGTAGAAAAGACAAGGTTTGGAAGTAACATGGAGAACTTACTACAAAATCTGGAGAAAGAAAAACTTGTGAGTGAAAGGTTTTTAAATGTTCCTCCTTAGAAGTATGCAGATTAATAAATGTTGTTTCCTTTTTGCCACTGAAATACCACATGTTTTCTGTCTTTGTTGTTAACACTTAACAGTATTTTCCTCTAAAGCCAGAGAAATATAGTACAAGGGTTAAGGCACTTGCCTTGCATGAGGCTGACTTCCATTCAGTCCCTGGCACCACAATACCAGGTGTCAATACCAGGAGTCAGTCATAAGCACTCCTGGGTGTGACTTCAAACCAAAAATAAATAATAAATGAATAAATAAATGAAAACTATTTTACTGGTCTCCGGCTTTTTAGTTTGAGGGCCACATACAATAGCTCAAGGTCTGTTTTCCTCACACTCCTTGTAGGTTTGCAGGAAACAATGTGGTGCTGGGGATTGTATCCAAGACTCTTGCATGCAAAGCTTCTGCTCTAGTCCTTTGAATTATCTCAGCCCAGTAATCTTTTTTTTTTTTAAGCCCAATCACTAGGCTTTCTACAAACCAGTCTTTCCTATAAAGTATCTTTTAGTGTATTATGTGATTGTAATTGTCATATTCAAAAACATTTATTAGATATTATTATCTTATACAGACTATATCTCTGTGTGTGTGTGTGTGTGTATATATGTATATTTATAGTTCAGTGAAGGTCAAAACAAAGACACACTTCAAAATTATACACTGATGAGTATAGTAAAATAGAGGTTGTTAGTTCCATTAGACACAGTGATGTGTTTCAAGATTCAGAAAGAACAAGGCACATGGGACTGGAGAGATAGTATAGCAGATAGATGCTTACCTTGCACTCAGCTGACCCAGATATATGATCCCCAGCATCCCATCTGGTCCCCTGAAGCACCACCAGGATTAATTTCTGAATGCAGAGCCAAAAGTAACCCCTGAGCATCACTGACTGTGTGCACCCCCTCCATGTCCCCCACCCCCAATAAAGAAGAGAAGGCAACAGCAGGTTGGGAGTTTGCCTTGCATGTTCCCATCCCAGGTTCAATTCCCTGTATCCCATTTGGACCTCTGAGCCCACCAGGAGTGATCCCCGAGCACAGAGTCAGGAGTAAGCCCTGAGCACTGTGGGTATGGCATAAAAACAAAAGCATTGAAAAGGTTAGCTGACTGGGTTATGCCTTGTTCCGTCATGTCACTCAGACAGCGTTTATGTGTTTGAAAGTTTGGACTTGATGCTAATGGGTTAAGAAAATGGGATGAAGTTTACGTATATGCAACGTTATCTGATCTGATAGTTAACCTTTATTTCTGTGTAGAGGATAAGTTGAGTGGGGGAAGGATGAGTTAGAAAATTACCACATTTGAGGTGGATATAAGAATTTTAAAATGATGATAAAAAATTAGTTTAAGAGATTTACTAGGTAATATCTCATTTGGTAGATATTGGGTGCTGGAGCGATAGCACAGCGGGTAGGGCGTTTGCCTTGCACACAGCCAACATGGCCGACCCGAGTTCTATTCCTCCGCCCCTCTCGGAGAACCCGGCAAGCTACCGAGAGTATCTCGCCCGCCCGGCAGAGCCTGGCAAGCTACCTGTGATGTATTCGATATGCCAAACACAGTAACAACAAAGTCTCATGATGGAGACGTTACTGGGCCCGCTTGAGAAAATCGATGAACAACGGGAAAACAGTGACGGTGACAGTGACAGTAGATATTGAGTACGTTGAGTTTGGCTAGAGGGATTAGGTCAGTCATCAGAATGTGTGGTAGGTTGAGGAATTAGTGTAAAATGAGTAAGTGTTGCTCATGTGTACAGTGTATCTGAAAGGAAGTGATCATAGAAGAAAGTGATAGTGCTTTTTGCTCTATAATACCTTTTATTACAAGTTTTTTAGCAGTTGTTTTTGATTTCTGGGCCTCACCCAGTCAGGACCTAAGGACTGCTCCCTGCACAAAGTTCAAGGGTCTGTACCATGCTGGGGTTCCCTGAATGTCTGCATGCAAAACATTGCTTCCAGTACTCTGACCATATAATTTGCTTGGCACTTGACCTTTTTTTATTGTTGTTTTGATTTTGGACCACTCCCTGTTCCCAGGGGTCAGGCGTGCTTAGAGGATCATATGGGATGCAGGTGATCTAATGGCCATGTGCAAGGGAAGTGCCCTACCCATTGTACAATCAGTTTAGCCCCATTTTTTACTTTTTATTGAGCCTCAGCTTCCAGGTATTCAAATGCAAGTTTCTGTTAGTGTCTTTTCAGAACTATATTTTGTTTGGTTGTTTTTCTGCGGTATTCAGGAAGCTATTCCAGTTGTTTTGAGTAATCACCAAGAGATTACAGGGATTAAATCCCGGGGGCCCAGCATACAAAGTGTGCACTGCATCTCTTTGACCTATGACCTATCTTCCCTGCTTCTGTTATTGGGTGTGAGGGTGTCTGCGCCACACCCTTAACTCTGCTCAACACTCTATGTTGTCCGTCCGTCCGTCCGTCCGTCCTTCCTTCCTTCCTTCCTTCCTTCCTTCCTTCCTTCCTTCCTTCCTTCCTTCCTTCCTCTCTCCCTCCCTCCCTCCCTCCCTCCCTTCTCTTCCTTCGCCTGCCTGCCTGCCTGCCTTCCTTCCTTCCTTCCTTCCTTCCTTCCTTCCTTCCTTCCTTCCTTCCTTCTCTTTCTCTCTTTCTCCCTTTCTCTCTTTTTCGTGACAACTAGTGGTGCTCAGGGCTTACTCCTGGCTCTGTGCCCAGGGATCACTCCTGCCAGGCTCAGGGGACCATATAGAATGCCAGGGATTGGTGTCATCTGTGTGCAAGGTAACCTCCCTATTCACTGTATAATGCTCTGGCCCTTGTGATACTGGGTCATGGTTAATGTAACCACATGCAAGCCAAGTGCTTTACTTCCTGTACTATCTCTCTGGCTTATAAGACTCTGAGGCTACCAGGAGTGATCCTGAGCACAGAGCCTGGAGTAGGCCCTGAGCTCATTTCGTTGTATGCATGCTTATCTAATCCAGTGTTTATTATGGGCAATCGGATTTCTATACAAAGCTTGTAAACAGTTTGTACATTTATGAACTGGTAGATGCCTAGCAATCACTTTTTGATTATTATCTTAAAACTTTTGGGCTTGGTCTTTTAGAGCATGCATGTACTTAGACACATGTGCACATTCACTACATATGAACATTTATATTTATATCTTGTTTCCCTCTATAATGTGTATGTAATACAAATATTCCTCATGAGCAAAATCTATTAAATTCCTGAATTCAGTGATTGTTTAGATAGGTTTGGATATGAGAGATATTAAGTTATCCAAGTCTGTCTGGTTTATGTGTTTTAGAAAATTAAGTATTGAGAGTCTGAACAGTGAGAAGTTTATCAGAAAATAATAATAACTATTTAATTTCTAGCTGTGAGAATCAGAATAGTAAAGATGCTGGCATTTTTTTCTTCAGTTGTGTAAGTACTGCATTTTTTTGGGCTTCTCAGAATCAAGCAATAGTTTCAGGTCATAGGTATGCCACAAAAGTAAAGTACCTGACTCAGCTTATAGATTTAGGTGTTTTGTGTAGCTACCCCTTTTCCTGCCAATATTATTGAGAATTATCCTAACTGTAGTTACCTTTTTTATAGTTCTTGGTATAATGGGAAGTGCACTTATTACTGTTGAGTTCTTAATCATATTCTTACGCACATTAAAACATAACTCCTAAATCACAGACAGATCTAATACCTTATACCTTACAGTTAATACTCTACATCTTATAGTTATACCATATACCTTACAGTACCTTGTAGTTCTTTATCACTATCTTGTCCCTTCTTTGTCTTGGTCTTTAACCGTAGGTCCACATTGTGAGGAAAAGGATGAAAGGGATGAGGAGAAAAGATTTTTCTTTTGCTGGTAAAAGGGAAAGAGACAGCTGTTTTTCCCTCTCGAAAAGATTTCCTTGAAAATGTAAATGAATATTAACTTTGGTAGATAAATAATCTCTTTAGAAGCTAGCGAGCCTTCTTGAAACTGCAGAAACATCTTAAGTTCTTGATTTCTTCTTGGAATGTAAAACCCCCAGTCTGCCTGGCACTATGGGGCGTAATATAGGAGTCCATTCAGCGCTACTAACCTCTTTGTCTTATTTTTTGTACACTCTTTATTTCATCATGATAAAAATAAGGTAATTATTTTTTTGGATCAGGGCACTTAACAGTACTTTGCTGCAGATCTCACTCTTAAGTTATGTAAAGAATTAAATATTTTTGGGAGAAATGAAAGCAAGTATCTTGAATATCTCTTATGTGATATTCAAGAAGGATCAGCCTTTTATTCTGTTCACACTGTAAAAAATAACCCACTTATATTACTTGTTTACACATTGAGAGGACAGTCTTGTTTTATTACCTCTTTCCCTTTAGTTGGCTAAACGTACCCAAAAATACTTTCAGAAACACTCAGAATAAAATTTGATCAGAAACATTCTTTACCTGTTAAAGGAGACACGTAAAGTTAATAATTATACATTGTATTTAACTTACCAAAAAATATTTTTAATTTTATTTACACATTTTCCGGTATTAAGCTGTCCCTCTTCTTAAAAAAAAAAAAGTTGTTTTGGCTGTGAAATTTTTTTTAGGGATTTTATGTATGATGAGTGAGATTGTACTGCAGTGTGTCATCCTCCTCCCACCACCCTCAAACACACACATGCCCCAGCTTTGGTTTTTGGTTTTTGAACCATATTGCCATTTTAGGGCTGCTCTGGGCTTGGTGTTCTGGAGTTGCTCTGATGACTGTGTGGTGCTGATGATCAAACCTGAGCCTCCCTTATACAGAGCATGCACTCCAGTTCTTTGAGCTATCTTCCCAGCCTCTGTACTGCACATTTTTTTCCTCATATTCTTTTCTAGTTTTTGTAGAAATATCAGACTACCTTGCTGTAATTTAATATTTACTCATTGTTTACAAGAGTTGTATATATGTGTGATTTGAAAAATCTATTATTTGGATGCTTGTGTAGAACA